TCTGAAGAATACTTCCAAGTATCGGTCGTCAACACTTTAGCTCGACTGGACAGTCTATTGCCACGAACATGTGTTCCCTTCTTTTAAGTACTCTATCTATGAAAGAAATTTCAGGCAGAACCATTGCACATTCTTCAAGAACCAGGAATAGTCAAAAAATAGAATCCTAAGATTTATTTTGATTTTATTTTTCCTGTGTTTTGACATTGAATGCAATCAGTGGATGGTTTATTACCTTATCAGTTCCTTCAACAATTGGTCGATCTTTTTTCTCGAGTTCATTTCCACCTGGTGGTGCACTTGTTGCGGTTGTATCATTAATCTCTTTTTTAATATCTACTGTTGATGTTGCTGATGACAATGATGATGGTGCTAATAATGATTCACTGTTCTTTGTTGTTAATATATCGTTAGATATTAGTACAGGACTTAAAGATCTTAGATCATTATTTGATGATAATGTTTTAAGTAATTGTATATTTTCTGTTTCAATATTATTTATAATATGATCATCATCAGCTAATGTTGATGTTGATATAATACTTTCATCATCACGGATATCATTAGTTTGTACTTTTAATAATAAGTCGGATAGTTTATCATTGGAATCAATAGCTAATGGTGGTGATGGTAAACTTGGAGGATGATCAAGTAATGTTGAACATAAACGATAACGGCGTTCAAGCATTGATAATGAATTTGAATCTAGAGTTTTCAAAGAAAATAATATTTTTATTTTATTATTAATTAGAAAATTAAACTTACACATTCTTGAAGATATTGGTTTTACAGGTGGTTTTCGATATGGTCGATAATGATCAGGAATATTTTCAATAAAAACATTACCAAATTCACCTTGATTTTGATATTTTTTATCAGGTATATCAAATGATAAAGATAATGATAAGTCATTATTAATATCAATAGATGGTTCAAGTGGTGTTAACATAGGTAAATCTCGTAATTGTTGTAATGAATGTTCAACAAATTTTTCTGTTTCTTCTGTACCTTTTTCTAAATACGAAAAAATTTTGTTTTATTTTATTTTTTTGAAAAAGCTATTAGCGCAATATCTGTGAAATTAAAATGTCAAACATGATGTACGTGCTATTGGTAATCACAAGGAGATTGCTTTATTCTATCTATTCTACGACATATTTCTTCATCATCTTTTTACTTAATCCTCCTGAAATGCAATGAGGATGTAGTTTAGGAAGACGTTATTGATATACGGTCTTTGATAATATATTGACAATGTCTACGACGGAGAGCAGAGACTTTACTAAAGTGTTTGCGATAGTGTTTGTCTAGCATCTATGATAGGCTTTGGTCAGCGTCTGTTAAGATTTGTGATGATCTCTAACTACCGTCTCTCATAATCTGTAATGATCTCTAGCTTGCGTCTGTCATGGCCTATGATGATCTCTAGCTAATGTCTATTACGATTCATGACGACGTATGATTAGCATCTTTCATGATTAATTGATGGTCCTTTGCTAGTGTCTGTGATAATCTCTGGTTCACATCTACTATGTTGTGTCACGAGTTCAAATTTTTGCCGCTATATTTCAACATTCGTTTTACATCATTTTTCACAAAAATGAGATTCTATGTTACATACTTTTACGTTTTCGTGCTTTTGTTGGTACATCATCTTCAAATGATGTATTTAATTCATTAGGTTTACGTTTTTTACGTGATTTTGGAATTTTAACATTTGGTACTGTTGATCCTGTTGGATTTGGATGTGATTGAGTATTAAGAGATGGATTATATAAATGATGATGACTATTAGGATAATTATGTGTTAAATTATCATGAATATTCATTTGAGAATTATCATATGGATCATTACTATCGGTCGAGATACCATTTGACATAGTATTATTAGTTCGTGCTTTTATTGCAACAGTAGCAGCAATTTCTTCTGAATTCTATATGATGAGAAAAACAAAAACAATAACGAAATGAAACGATAATTACAAAACTTACAGCTTGTGGATTAATTTGTAATAAAGATTTAAGAATATTATCATCCGTAGTAAGCATACCAGATGGTAAATGAAGAACTTGTTGTGGTATGGATTGTTGATGTGGATGTTTTTGTTGATTAATAAGACTATCATTCATATGTGGATTTGCTTGAAGTGAATTTATCGATTGTTGTACTTGTGGTGGTGGTGGTGGTGGTGGTTGTTGTCCAGATGTTCGATAGAGAGTATTAGGATCATAAATAATCGGTGCTTGTTGTTGCATAGTTGTCGGTTGCATAATTAATTGAGGAGGTGGCGGTGGTGGTGGTGGCGGCGGTGGTGGAGGTGCTCCACGTGATCCAAATGCATTTGGTGGTATCATTCGTGGTTTCATCATTTGATAAGCATGTTGTTGCGGTTGTGGTGTTTGTATCATTGGTGGATAACGTAAAACTACAGTAGATGGACCAGTTGGTGTTCCATTTGTTGGTATACCAGGTCTTATTGATTGTGGTTGTTGTTGTGGTGGTGGTGGAGGAGGTGGTAATTGTTGTTGTTTAACTTTACCGATTCCAGTAATGGTTGTTACTGGGGATGAAAGCATTTGACGAGTATTAACATAAATACCAGTTGGTGTATGATGAGTTGAAGATGGTAATGGATGATGTGACCCATGCGATGACATATTATGATGATTATCTGATTTATTTTGTACATTTGTTTGTTGTGGAGATATAAAACTATTATTTGTACCTGTTACTTGAGAAGATGATTGATGAATAGGAAATCCTCCAAGTATAGTTGGTGTTATCGATGCTTGATTCATATGATGCATATTAACACCTAAATTATTTGGTAATGGTGATGGTAATGGAATTAATGATGTAACTGATGGTGAATTTGATGGTGGTGGTGATGGTTCAGTTGTACCTGGTTGTGATGTTTGTCTTGTCATTGGAACATTAATACCATAATTATTTAATAAATCTTGATTAAATCGAACATGATGTTGAAGTGATTGACTTTGTTGTGGAACAATATTACGGGCAGTTGAAATATTTGTTAATGTACCATTATTTGATGTTTGTGTTGAAAGTGGTGGACGTGTTTGTTGAGAAGGATGACGTTGTAAATTTGTTGACATTGATGGTGATGGCATTGATACATCATCAGGTGTTTGATGTGGTGTACCAGGTGTTGGTGTTCGAGATATTGTACGGGGTGACTGTACATTAACTATATTATGTTGTTTTGAAGGTGATGGAGAATGAAGAAGGTATTTAGTCGCACCCGATGGATCATTAGACGGCTTAAAAGAAAGAAAATTATTTTTTAATCGAAATTCTTTACAAATAACGTGTCAAAATGTATTCTTCTTTTTACATCACTTTTCAACACATTGAAAACTTCGTTTTAGACTCATTCAATAGAAAATTTCCTAATCTTTGTTTTTCTAATAACTTGTTCTTTGTTGACATAAAATTTCAAAATGAATACCTATCCAATTGTCTCATTGCGACGATCAGTAAACGAAAAAAAAACATTTCATCAGGGTTTTACTGAAATTTGGAAATATGTAACGAAATTCTCCACAAATTCTGTATCTTTTAATATATGTTCCAAATAGGAAGAAATAATTTTCAAATAAAAAAATCGAAAAAAAATACTTTTCTAGTAGAATGACATCATTGTTCTTTTCCCTTAGATGTCTACTCTTCGATTAAACAATCATATTATTCCGTTCAGAATTAAATTTCACATCCAACAATATGAGAACAAATGTGTTATAGACAAAATCTCGCTCTTGAAACTATGGTTTTTCAGAATACATCTCAAAATGCTGCGAGATATTGGTTCAAAATCTTTTTATTATGAACAACAGCAGCAGAAACATTGAAAAGATCGTGAAATAGAGCGCATCGGATCTAACCCAAGACCATATTCTAAAATTTTCGGGCCCAATGGGTTCTATCATAAAAGCAGAGAGTACGAAATTCTCTATATATTGATGCCAAATACTTTACTTTCAGCATCGGTTCTGACACAAACCATGAGGCATCTGCAGAAAATCAGAAATCGAAGTTAAATGATATGAGTATGTGTGCATCCACTAAATTTCACACCGACAAAGAAAAAGTTATTTGAAAAACTAAAGACAATGGATTTGTAGAGCAAGAAATTTTCTATTCAATGAATCTAAAACAATCATCTTTAATGTACTAGAAAGTGTTTTAAAGAGAGGAAAACATTTCGATTCGTTATTTCATACATCTTCGATATGTCGTATAGAATCTTCAAATGGATTTTGAACAACGATTGTCCTAAAAAAAAGCTGATGATTAACCAAAAAAACAACAAAAAGAATTATAGCTTTATACATAGATTTTGATGCATTATTTGAATTATCAATACTTGCTGTTCGTATCATTGGTGAATGATAATGTCTTACATCCGTTGGTGTACGTGGTGTATTGACATTAGCTGTATTTGTTGTAACTGAACGCATATGTTGTGTTGTTGCATCTGTTGTATAAACACTATCTGTTATAATATCAAGTTTAGTTGGTGGTGTTGCTGATACTGATTCGTTCATTATCGATCAACATTCGATAAATCTATTTTTTGAACATATACATATATAAATACTGTTCTTGCTGATATCAGCAGAAGATATACATCTAAAATATATATGTATAAGATAAAAGACAAAACAAAAAAAAACATGATATTATCTACAAGTTCTTTATCGAACAACATAAAAGAATCTGCTTTTTTTTCAAATGTACTCCCTGGAAGGTTGAAGTTTTCGATGGCTAATATAACCGGAAGACAAAAAGAAACAAAAAAACACAACAAGAAATCGCAGTCTACTGTTTATACTTGTTCACAACCGGATGTTGATTGCATTGGCTCAATTTACGAGAAGAAAAAAAGAAGAAACAAAACGAATTGAATCAAAAAAAAATGCAATGAATCGCACCACACGAAGAAAAAAAAATGAAAAAACCGGAAGCGAAAAAAAACAAATCACATTACAGATGATGATGCACCATTGGATAATATTGATGAAATAAGTTCAGCTACAACAGTACGTCCTGATTCTTGAGATGTTGATGGAAAATAATCATATTGTTGCGTTGATAAATTTTCTTGATTTAATGGAATGTATGATGAATTACAAATAACATTATGTTGTTCATTATATGATAAACGTGATTGATAACGATGACGTGTTGTACTTTCAGATTCAATTGGAATATCACCATGGCCAGATATCACATTTAAAATAACTTCATCAATTTTTTCAAGAATATCTGTTGGTACATCTAAATCAACAATCGATATTTTAACTAAGAAAAAGAATATATATTTATTTACTTTGTAATATATCAATTCGTGTTGTAGATTTTTTACTACTTGTCGTTATATTATTTTCTGAAAATGATGTATCAATGTTTGCATTTGATCGATGTCCATTCGTTGTTGACGATAATAAAGTAAAACATGATGTTGATCTCATTGGAGTTGGCTGAGAAGAATATTGTTGTAAAAAATCTGAACCTAAGAAAAACACAATAATAAAAATAAGTGCTCATCTATAAAAAAAAAACGTCCAGATGAAGAGGAAGAGAGGGATCAAACATGTCCATCGGGCCCAAAAATCTCTGGACCGAGTCAACACAAAATTTTCAGATCCGAGCTCAATGAGATGTGTTGTCTAGATGCTTACTATGAATATTTTGTTTTTTTTTTTCAAACAATTTTTTGCAAAGATTCTAAGATTGATGTCTCTTAAGGCGCATTTTTTAATAGAAAATGAACTGAAGATGAATATGATCTTGAAATAATTCAAAATTATGCTATATGACAGATAGTAATTTTCTGCAGCAGTTCTATTAGGTTTTGCGAGTGCCATTGATAATGAACTTCAGTTTTTGTTTGCACTACTTTCTGCTCAATAGAATGGATATTATTTTTTAGAAAAGCTTTGCTATACGTTAGCTTTTTGTTTGTTGTTTGTGAAATGTATTTCTATTTTTAATATATTTATTTAATGAAAAAGAAGCCGTAGATTTGAACAAGCCGACTTTTTCTGAAAGTTCTCTTTTATACTGAACATTAGAGCCAGCCGGGTATGTCTCGCATTGGGACCTGAAAATTTCGAAGCCGATGGATTCTGATCGTTTGAGAAATATGTATAGTGCACTAATACCTATTCCGATAAAAAAGCGATTGTTTTAGTAATTTTTAATAGTATCATGATAGACTAGCAGTTTTCACCTTTCGAAAAAGATGAAGACGCATATTACAAGTGTTTTAGACCTAATTTTTGTAAGGCTTTCAATTGACTCTTTTGAAAATGAATGTACCTTGTGAGGTGACTATGGTGAATTTTCAATTATCAAGTGTGCATCTGAATCGATGACAGAAGATTCACAAAACTACATAAGCCTCAGGTTCTTAGCTATACTTACTCAGGACTCATAGGTATTCTAGTCACGATTCTTGCTCTATTCTACAAGCAATTATTGTGCAAACAAAATCACATTTATGCTTTTTTTCTTGTACTAAAACAAATCTTTTTCCAACCCTTGTTTTTTGATCGAAAAAACTTCAGAAAACATCTTAGAACAATTTATGATACACATGATTCGATGCGACTTCATCTTCTCTTTCTAATGATGACAATTGCAGCACTTCATCTTGTGTCTATCAAAAGTTATTGATAAAATATTCATCTTTTTTTTTTCTAATGAACATTTACACCAAATGCAATAAAACTAGAAAAAAGTATCTCGCATCTTTGAGATAACTATTCGATTTCGATTAGAAAACTTCATTGAGAGCATCAAAGTAAGGTTAGACTAGGTCTCGATCTGCAAATTTGAAACCTACCAGGCTCTACTAAATGTCCTGTATGAATAATTCCTAATATGAAATAAATTAGTTACAAGGAAATATTTTAGGTTGATATGTATTAGTTTTTGTTAGAAATAAAATAGAAGAATCTTTACCGAATGATGATTGAGATGAAGCATGAAGATCGAGTGATGGTAACTAAATTTTAAATTATTTAATATTTATCGATCAAATAAAGAAAAACAAAACTTTCTTACTGAATGTTGTTGAATATTATTTATTGGATATTGCATAGGTGTCATACATTGTTGTTTATCAATAATCATTGATTTTTGTAAATTATCATTTTGTATTTGTTGCTGATATGCTTGAAATAAATGATACGATTCATCCATACCTAATGATAATTGGTTACGTTTAATATTAAGATTTGAACGATTAAAATCTGGTGATTGAACTAAATTACAAACTTTGAAAACAAAATCGATTAAAAGATGATTTAAATTACCTGCTGATAATGATCGTCCATCAGGACATGAATAATTTCCATTTATTACTAACGATTGATTTAAATGTGGTGGTGTTGGTAACCATGATACTGGACTAAATAGTAATTTATTTGTTTTTAGATAAAAATAAAAAGAATTTCAATGAATTACTCATGACGAAGAACATGCTTATTTGTTTGAGAAAATAGTGGATTTTGTAATGGTCCAACTGTGGATTCTTCTAATTCACGAGCCATATTTCGAATAATTTGATTTGGATTATTTGTTTGATAAATACTATTATTTGACCAATCCATAACTTTAAAAAAATACAAACAAAAATTATTTTGTAAAACATGATCTACCACAATCATTGCATTTTGAACCTAAGATAGGTTCAATAATTTTTCTAAGATCGGCACGTGAAAGTTAAGAATACGGCCAAGTAAGGGATAAACACAATTAGTGCTTCTTTCTTTTATTGCGACTTACATTTTCGAAACTTTTTTGAGATCCGTAGGACAAAAAAGGATCCGATATTCAAAATATGATATCATGTAAGTTCGATACGAATCCTTTTAAGGTAAAGTGAACCCTATAAGATTTCATATTTTTAATACCGAACTCGTTTTTGTCCTACGAATCCAAAAAGACCTTCAATAGTGTATTCGTATGAAGAAATATTTTAGGTTTCGCTGCTCCTCTCGAACTTACAAAAAGATCGACATCAAAACGATGTTTATATATGAGCCATAGGCAATCATAGACTATATATGAATAGTGTCTCGTTATAATATATGCACTACTTCCTTATTGCACTTTTGAAGGCTTAAGTAAATGGAGGGTGAAGACGTATGTCTCAAAATAGATAGAATAAAGCAATGTTTCTATGATTAGTAACAGCATCTATATTATGCTTGACATTTTAATTCCGTAGGGATTGCGCTAACAGCTTCGTTTTTTTATTATTAAATTACCAGATGAATGATCATTTTGACTTGGTTGATCAACAAATTCAATGAATTCCCAAATATCTCCAGATGAGTTACCTATAAATAAATAACAACTAAAGAAAGAACTAATAAGCATTATTTTTACATGGTGGATTCGGAACTGGATTAAGTATATAATCAACTAAATCTGTAAATTCTTCGTTACCGAAAATAGGTTCTATAAGCGAAATATTAAATTCATAAATCAAAAAAAAAAACAAGAAATTTTTTTCTTACGCATTTCATTTTCATCATCATTTGATAATGATAATGGAGATTTTTTCTTTGTTGTTAAATATTTAATTGTATCGGGATCAAGTTGAATTGAATATTCACTATTTAAATATTTTAAATTTATTGTTGATTGATCATTATAGGTTAAATCATCATCTAATGGATTTTTGGCCTGATTTTGATTTGCAAGATCCATACCAAAAAATGCTTCCTTAATCAAAGAAAAAAAATCATATCAAACATAAAAATAAACGTAATTGATTTACCTGCATTTCTGGTGGCATATGTTCTTCAAGAATTGTTTTTCTTAAACGTTTATTTTTCGTACGTAATAATTCACTATCCATATGAAGTAAATCTTGACGACGACGATTACCACGAATTTTTACAATAAATCCACCAATACCTAAAATAATGAATGATCATCATCAGAAAACCTATATAGAATAGTGTATATCACAGATGACATTAGTTCAGTTCGAACGGATGAACTGTAATTAATTGGAATAAATGTTAATTCAATTTCCCTCGTATTTATTATTCAAATAACATATTCATTCATATAACAAAACTATGAACTTCACCTTTCTTGCTCCTGCTTTGCAAACGCATACAGTATCATGAAATAGATGGTCAAAGCAAGAAAATTTTTTTCTTCTCTTTTGATGATATACTTTTGAACACATCCGAGCTTTAAACCAAGACTTACAAAATAATGGAAATTGAGATAAATGCATAGAAAGATAGCCCGATATTTGTCATGATGTAATATTTAATGTCTGGTTTTTTTTCCGAAAATTTGAGGTTAATTCCTGCTTGAAAAATATGCTTTTTTTATCGAATCACTCCGAATTCTCTGTGAATCTTCATTCTACATAGTTCATTTTTATTTTGTTTAAAACAGCATGTCAAGATATAGGGAATAACATATTTGCTTTTTTAAATTAAGCTATGTTAGTATTAAATAACAGTATTTTTATAATTAGAGTACAATTTTTTGAGACACTGAACTTTTCTCCGCTTAAAAAGTAACAATTCAAATAAAAAGGTTTTATTCATGTCCTGACTTCTGACATGCTCTTTCAAGTAAAAAAATTAAGTCTACAGAATAAAAGCAAACAGAGAATTTTGTGTTGTCAAATGAACCTTGTGGGGTCTCGTCTGTTGAAGATGTCATGAAAACATCGTGGAATAGTGCTGAAATTTATAGGATTAGATGACTCATGAGCCACACTGCGACATGTTATTATTAATAAAACTCATAGTAAAACCAACAAGACCTAAAATAAAAGTAAAATTTTCGTGCCGTCATCAGGATATGCAATGTATGGCCCAGTTTCTTCGAAATGAACAAAATTTATATGTCTAAAGTGAAGTACACAGTTCGTAGAACTTGGAATTCTGCAAGTTTTGATATTGAGAAAACCTTAAATCACTTTTCGCATAGCATCTGTCATGAAATTCTGAAATATTTTTACATGAAAGGATCTTTTCAAACATGCTGAAAAGGATAAAGATCTTCGTAATGCCCTTGTTGTCAATCATAATAATAAAGACTAAACTTCAGAACTCTCAAAATACTATATCTAGAGATCGCCTGGCTTCTAATGCACCGGAATTGAGTCCACTAGATTATTCTATATGGAATTGTATCAATAAAAACATTGATTATCAAAAATGTCAAAACACGAGAAGATTTGCAGAAATAATTAAATAAAGCATGCGATAAACATTGCTAGAAATTATGTTTGCGAAGGAATTGAAGTTTTTCTTCAAAGACTTTCTGCGGTTGAACAACATTATAGTGATGACACTTTCCATGAACATTCATCATTTTTATATTATTTCATTTGAGCTTTTTTTTATAAAGTATACCATGCAGAAATTTGTGTGAAATAAATAGAAGACTTTTTTTTTCATTTTCATTTCTCTCAAAATAATGGGACACTTCGACCGTCATGAAGTGTTTTTATTTTAGTCTTATAAAAACAACCATTAAAACAATTCAAGAGGATTTTTCATCAAACATTCTTATATAACATTTGATGGCTCATATTTTAAAAACAAAATTCAACATTATAGAGCTTGCCTATATGTAGATATTTGAAAAAGACTCGATGTCACCATCATTTCGACTAATCCATTTTTCCTTAATCTCGTAAAACAGTGAAAACTAATGCAGTGATACGCCATTTTAAGTCATGTAAGGTTACTAATTCCTCCGAGGTTTCTAGAAAAACGTCTAATGATGAAAACTTGAAATTACTAGGATCTCAATGGTCTTGGTTTCTCTATGATGCCATGTTCAATCAATGTGAGAATTTTTTTTCAGGCACTTGTCACTTTTGACGTGAGTTTTTTTAATTTTTTGTCCTTGGAATAAAAAAGCTAAAATATCGAAGGTACCTTACAAAGATACCTGTTCGTGTTTTGTATCCATCTCAAACAGTGTATATTATATGTGAAAGAAATTTCAACTCGATTGAACTTACTATACAGAAGAAAGCGTAACATGTTTCTACGTTTTTCATGGAAAAGTTGGTTTGAAGGTGCAGTTTTCGGTAATTGGATTTCTTCTCAATTTTTTAATAAGACAATATCTGGATTTCGAAATATAGTCTTCAGAACACACAAATGCTACAAAAAAAAGCAACAAAGCAGTATGCATTTTACATGGCAGTGGACATGTGACTTTCTTGCTTGGAAATGATTGAATACGATGTTGTACAGTCTAGAAATATTTGCACAAACAAAGACTCGATACAGTAGACAGAAGAACATTTTGGCTGTTGGGTTACTCATTTTACTGGACTAAGCCTTCAGATGATACTGTAGAAAAAAGTTTTTTTTTTCTTTAAGAAGTTAAAAATACAAATTGAAAAATATTGTTTGCTATTGTATAGAGTTCAGCTTAAGAAATATATTTCATTGTCACAATTTTCAATGTCTGCCTAGATACGTACTGTGTAGAGAGAAATACTCTTAAGACACTATTTTCGACCATCGAAATGATCGTTCTGAAACTTCATATCGATTGAAAAATTGCATTTACATTTATTCCGATTCATTATTAGTTTTAATACGAAAAGAAAACGACAGAAAGAGAACTTTTCACTAGAGATATGCGTGGTTTATTTAGTATGATTCAGAAGAAACAATGTATTTATAAATGATTATCTTTTATCATATCTATTTAACCCCGTAAGATATAGAAGATAAAGTTCTGTTGATTTAAAATCTTCTACCTGTATATTTTTTAATTGAAGATTTTTTAATTTGTTGTTCATTATTTAAATGAATTTTTTCTTCGTCTGATCGTTCATCATCATTAATTAATGTTGAATTTGTACGTTTAAATAAATTTTGATTTTTTTGTAATAATTGTTTTGATTTTCTTGTTGGATTCGTTAAAATTTTTGGTCGAATAGATTTTAAATGTGCCAGACCATGATCAGTTAAATAAACACCTTCATCAAATTTAACAGATTTTGTTTGTAAAATTTGTTGATCATCTATTGATGAATAACGCATTAATGTTAATGTTGATTGATCTGATTTACATAAAAGACATAAAAATGTTTGTTCATTACAATGTTTTTCAGCCATATCTTCAGTAAATATATTTGCACACATACTATGACACCAACGATTACAATTTCTACATTGTATTATTAATTCATCTAAATTATATTTACGTAAACATAATGGACATGTTTCTAATGAATAACATTGACCACATTCAGTATAATTATTTTCCCATTGACAATCAATACCTGGTGTTGTTGAACCACATTTTAAACAACGAACACACCTAGAACGAGAATTAAAAAAAATTTTTCTTTTTTGTTTCCTATAAGAAAACGTTTCTTTTTTTTTCTTACCATTGACATTTCCAATTTCCTTTTGGTACATGATCAAGTGGTGGTGTAAGACAATATGTATGATAGGATATATCACAATCATCACATAATAAAAGCTTTGCTTCATCTGTTGTTTTACCACAACATTCACATACAGTACAATCAAGACAACGCCAACCTTTATCAAAAAGTACTTTTGATAACTAAATAAAAATAAAAATAATGTATTTGAATTAAATTTTAAAAATAAAAACAAACCTTTTTTGTAAATCCAGCACAATATGGATGATAACTTTGTCCACATTGTGAACATGATATAAGTCGACCTTCTTCATTTAAACCAATACTTCCACAACTAACACACATATCCTATCAATATAAATATTTAAAAAAAAAGAAAATTTAAAATCATTTTTATACTTGAGAAACAGCATAAACTTCATTTGACGAACATAAAACTGTAACTGAATGATGTTCTTCATCTTCTTTTACTGGTTCTTGTTGAGTAGATGGATTCTCCTAAAGACAAAAAAAATATTCCAATAGGTAATTTATTTTTAATATGACTGTCGTATATAGCTGACTTTTGACGGGTTAGTGTCTTTATCATAGACAAATAAAAATTTGATTACTAAATGTTGATTCATAGTGGAATCAGATATATAATATAATGTCGAGACTATCTACATTCAGATGAGTTTTGAATATCCTGAAAATATTTTGAGCCTTTGGCTTATTGCTACAGAGGTGCGACAAATTTACGATAGTTGTCAAATGAATGTCGTGTTTCAGACATTTTGACTTTAGAATTTCGACTGCAAACCTTGTTTAGGGACAGATATTAACGATGTTGATTGTAGGTCTGTTGATTTGCTTCTGTTATGAAATAAGAGCATTAAATCTGCTATTAAATATGAGCGATGTAAAAGACATGCTTTTATCATAACTGTAACAAGAACAAGATTTGAAATATTCACAAAAAACTTATTTTCATTAGAGTTAACTCAAAAGTGGTTGATCAATTACGAAACTTCTCTTGTGAATTTTTTTCCGGAATTGTTCTAAAAAAAACTATTGATATAAATAGAATATTAGTTACATTTTGGTAACGAACCTCTTTACCACAAACATACAGTGTTCATGTGAACTCTATCGTTTATCTTTCGAAATATCACAGTCAAAAGCATGTCAGATGCTCTAATGTTTCAAAACATTAACTCTTTGAAAAACAAAAACGTTGTTTATGAAACTTCAAAATATCTGCCATCTTATGCATTGTTCAACTGTCTCTCGAAAGAAAAACGTTAAAGAATTAACATGAATATTACGTATTATTTGTCGAAAAGTGAACTCATTCTTTTGTTTAGAACCACTCGAAAAAAACTAACTGATACTGAACTGTCCGATTGCTTTTTGATCAGCATTCTATTTAGCTGATAGTGAAAAAATTCTAAGATGGTTCGGTCGTCTGAACCTTTGTTTTTGACACATCAATTTTCGATTTATCTACTTTCAGATATCAACGATGAAAACTTTCTAATCAACAAGAAATTACCCAGTGAAAAATTTTCGCGATTTTCAATCGGATTTTTCTGCAACAAAATCAAAATTATAATCGATTGATAATTTTGATTATTTTTGATCACGACTGATCCATTATTTGACATTGTTGCTTAATTAGTGCGAAATTTTCTAATTGAAATCGGATTACTTTGCAGCATAATCGAAATTATTAATCGATTGGTAATCCTGGATTTGCTACAGAACTATCCGATTTTAATCAGATAATTCCACACTGAATAAGTAACAATATCAAGTAATAGTTAAGTCGTGATCAACAATAATCAAAATTATCAATCGATTATAATTTTGATTTTGTTGCAGAAAAATCCGATTGAAAATCGCGAAAATTTTTCACTGGGTACAACCATTCATCATATATTGATATCTCTAATTGCCACTCACTAATTAGAATCAATGAACAATCAAAAAATCACAGGTTTACACTCGATATATCAAGAACAAAAGTTCAGAAAACCACTACTGTCTTAGACTTTGACACTATTAGTTGAGTACAGTCTCGATAAAAATGCAATAGAACACTTGCGATTATTTATTCGTCAATATAAAAGATCGTCCAAACCAAAAATTGGCTAACTCAGATCGTTTTATGTCCATATAGATACGGACTATACGATTAATGCAAATCGTCCATCAAAAGTTCGCTTTATACGATAATTACATTACAATTGAATATGTTCGAAAACTGTTCTTCATTATTATCAATCAAACTTACATTAACTGTTGTAGTTGTATTATAATCATCTTTGCGTACTTTAATTGGTCTACCACGTGAACTTGATAAAGTTCTATGATATTGCATAGGTTGTATATTATCTGAATTTGATGCATATAATTGTGGACTAATCGATTGTGGTGGTGTAGGAGAATCCGAAGTTAATCGATGACGACGACGAACTGTCTATAGAAAATTTTTGTTTCGTTTTTTTTTATTTGGAATTTTTTCTTTTATTTTCTTCATACTCGTCGAACACGTTTTCGAATTGTTATATCTGAATTAATATAAGCCTGTGCTGGTTTTCCTTTTCCATATTTACTGTTCATGCGTCCACCTCGAGTTGATGTTATCACTGGTTTGCTGAAAATAGGTGTCTAAAAAAATGAAAAGAAAACCGATCAATTTAATGTTTAATATTTAATCATACTTCTGGTTCAATGCATGGCAAAAATGTATGTTTATCACAAAATAAGTCATTAACATCTGTCAAACAACTATTGCAATTGATTTCAGAATCAACTGTAGAAAATTAATATATCTTTTGTCATTATTAATTAACTCAAAAGAAATAAAAAACGAATATCTTACAAGTAATCGGTACAAAATCTGATTGATCATCAGATAATTTTCTATTTGATGAATTGAAGAAATCTTGTGACGACGATTCATCAGTAAATCTAAGAAATAAAATTTGTTTCTATTGAACTTAATCATTTTATTAGTTCTTACCGATCATCATCAAATTGTTTCGAATAAATTTCTGATTCAATAGATGTACTATTCTAGATATCATAAACAAAAAAAGAACTTTAATCAAGAGTTTTTTTTTCTAATTTTGTTTCAAACCTGGAACATTTCGACGATTATTGTCGAATTGATATTTGAAAGTGTTCAATACCACGAAAAGATATCTTAGAAAAATCGTGGTCTTATATGTACTGTTCTAAAATTGATCATCATTTGTTTGTTTATTTTTTTTTCTATCCTAAGATAATAACAACAACAACAACATTTGACAAATACTAGTGTCGACCTCTGCTGAATGTCGACATAATGATAATTTTAGATAAATTAATAATAAAAATAAAAGGTATTTAAAGATAATTGAAATCTTTAAATTGAATTACTTTTAGTTATATGTACTTATTTTGTATTGCTAAAAATAATAAGCAAAAAAAAAAAAGATTAGAGATGCCATTATGAAATTCTCTCATCATCTCTTGAGGTCACTTGTCACGCTTGATATCTCATTAGATGAAATATTCTCGATAGAAATAAAGAGATATTTTATTAACAATAAAATTAAAAAAAAAAGACAATGAATTACTCGAAAAAAAAAATTCGATTAAATATATTTATTTAATAAAGCGACTATAATTATGATTGGATTACGAATAGATCAATAAAAAATAGTTGAAAGTAATAATAAATGAATAATGAAAGACATAACGGTGAAAAAATCATCAACGCACAACGACTATTTGTAAAACAGATGGCAATAAAAATGTTGATATTTGACGTATTAAACAAATTTTAGAATATTCTAAGTAGAAATTTTAAATTGTTTTTCTTATCATGGAAAATCGTTAGTACTTTTATATCTAATATCAAGTTCTAAATAGTATTTCTTGGGAGAAAAAAATTTCTAAGCTAGAGATCTTTTTTGTTTAAACATTTTTTCCTGAGACGTAATTATTTATTTGGGAAGATCGAACATTGAAAGTAGACAATTTCGTACAGGAAATATAGGAATCTATTATTAATTTTTTATCTTATTCACGCTATTTGGAAGATCACTCTTATTGAATTAGTTGATATAATAAAGATAAGACTGAACGTTTTTGTTGGTCGGCTTCCGTTTTCAGCAGGCAATTTCGAATGATAACGAAGCTAGTTCAATCTTCTGGTAAGAATTATTGTCCATTTTCTTGTTTCATAAAGCACAGATCTACGGAAATTACCATCAATGCCACTATGATATAAAAGTAATAAAGCTGAAATATCTTTATAGCTAACTATCGAGTTGCGATTTAGTCTAACGGCAGAACTTCTTCAACTGATAAATTTCGCTTGAGTCGAGACTTCATGTACTATATAGAATCAAATCAGCTATGAATACTCTGAAAAGAGTTCGTACTCTTAGTTTATTACTATTAAGATGCTACACATTTAGGTATTGTTTTTAAAGCGAATGATGTAGTTTAGAAAAACTTTTTTTTTTTTTAATTTGAAACTTTGCATAGAAAGAGTCCCTAACGAGAATAGTTTCAGGCCTTTCGGTTTCTTCTATTCTCAAACACGAAGATCAAGTCTGCCGGTTTATATGAGTGATGTAAGAAAACAGCTATGATCATTGTTGTATCTTAGAATAGGAAAAACGACAAGATTTTGAACATTCACAAAAATAAACCTATTGTTATTGAGGTCTGTCTATATGCAATTTTTCAAGTCGAATTTCGAAAATTAGTATTCTTGGAGGATAGTATTCATTTAAAGAAATACCTTCAAAATGCAATATCTACGCAACAACATTCTGTGGGCACTAACACTTTTCAAGATATTCAAAGATGAATGTGAGTCTACATAATGCGCATAATCTCGACTCGAGAATGATCTATCGATTGGAGAAATTCGTTTGTAATTAGTTAAAAGGCCTGGTAATTTTAATTTTTTTTTTAATGTTTTTGGATAAGTATAAAACCTAGTAAATCAAGCATAATTTTATAGTTGAAGACGACCAATATTTATTAGAATGTTTGCTACTTATGCGAAAAGACTGTAACTCTGTTCTATTTATAGACGAAAAGCATGTATAATTCTTTCGCTCTCTTCATTTATGTCAATAGAAGAAACTAAATTTAGATATTGTTGTATAATGTCATGTATAATTTTTCTTATCTTCGATAAAGAATATTGATTATTGTTAATTAAAACATTTTTCGTTTAGTGAGTTGTTTTACGTTATAAACAATGTTGAATTTTTAAATTCTTAGATAAATTTATTTATCATCATGATTCAATGCTATAAAACATTTGTTATTTTTTTGATTCTCATCAATCAATCGGTTTTAGGTCATAAAATAAGTCATAAAGTGTTCATCGAAAATTTAATATCTGTTAATTTTTCATTATAAATTTTCTTTATAATGCTCTTGAGATTTTTTTTTTGTATTTTTGCTATTTACTTTGAAGCCCGTACAGAGGGTGAAACTTTTTGTCGTTCTTCATGAGAACGTGTGTGTGTGCAAGGCAACATAACAAAACAATATATGTCTTTTTTGTTTCATCCGCTTTTTTTTTCTTGTTCGTTCGATGTTCTCATCTAGCCTAGCCCTCTTTCTTCGATTATTACTCGTCCATCAATCTAATTCGTCCATCTACTTGTTGCCCTCTCTTTGTATTCTATGTGGTCCAGTAGAATAAATATTAATTGAGAAACAAACAAAAGTTCACAACGGATTAGTATTTATTTATTTTTTGTTCGTTTATTATATTCGTCTGTGTTAAATATGTAAATAGACAAAAGCAAAATGTTTGTCATATTTGTAACAAAGAAATCAAATATTAAAATTTGGAAAGCTTTTTGTTATCTTGTAGTAGTTGAACCGACGGGAAATTCCTGATCAAGCGCCAAATATGTTCTGTTAATCATAATAAGAACGCGCTTTTTATTGTCATTTTCTTTTTACAGATAAAATAATGGCTTCTATTACGAACAATTTAATGGAATCCGATGATGATTATATTCCACCGGTTAAATTAAAGAAGACTACAAATGAGGTTAGAACAACTTTTATTGTGTTTTTTTTTCATTATTGATTTATAATTGATTTTATAGGATGATCATAATGATTTATATTGTTTTGAATGTCATGACGAAGGTGATGTTATTTGTTGTGATTCATGTCCACGTGTATATCATTCCAAATGTCTTGGATTGACAATATTGCCTGATGGTGATTGGACATGTCCTGAATGTAAAGTAAGTATTTTTTTTTAACTAATGTCATTTTTCAATTTATAATTTTTTGTTTGTCTATAAAGATTATACAATTATCATCTAATATAAATAATCCACGAATAGATGAATTTCATATAATGTTAAAATATGCACTTCGTCGAATGAAATCTCATCCACAAGTAAGTTTTATATTAAGAAAGAAAAAAAGGAAAAAGAAAAAGTTTTTTTTTTGTAAAAGTCTGCACCATTTATGAAACCTGTTGATTCTAATCAAGTTCCTGAATATCTTGACTATATAATTCATCCGATGGATTTAGAAACAATAGAAAAAAATATTGATTTAAAAAAATATACATGTACAGATGCATTTATTGCTGATGTTAAATGGATAACACATAATAGTGTTGTTTTCAATGGAAGCAAGTAGTCTTTGTTAATGATAGAGAATAATTTTTTTTCATTGATTATTTATATTTTAGGTCAAAGTAAATTTACTACAATTGCACGTGCACTTTTAAAAATTGCTCGTCATGAAATGACAGAAATCGAAATTTGTTCCGAATGTTATTTACGTAGTGCACAACCTGTATCAACAGATTGGTTTGCTGAGCCATGTCGTATTCCACATACATTATGTTGGGCTAAAATGAAAGGTTATCAACCATGGCCAGCTAAGGTTTTACGTATTGTTAATGATGAAGTTGATGTTCGTTTTTTTGGTCAACATGATCGGTGAGAAATAAACAGAAAAAATAGATTAATTATGATTGATTAATTTTGTGTTTTTTTTTAATGTAGAGCATGGGTATCAATTAATAATTGTTTTGTTCTGTCGAAAGAATATCCAGGTGTAGAAAAGAAAAAACCTAATACAAATTTTGAAAAAAGTCTCACAGAATTACAAACTCATATTGATCAATTGAAAACACTTTATGGAGGTTTTACTTATGCACCACTACAAACACCGCTTAGTAAAACGAAACCGTTCAAATTCGTTTCAGTTATTGATGGTATAATTTGTTTCTTATTCTTCTTTCTAAACTTTCGTATCAGAGAAAAATTACTTTCGTACAAGAAACTATCCCATATTCATCATAGATAGTAAAACTTCCCATAGTGGCCATCTTCATATAATTGTATGATGGATACTTTCGAAGAGTCCCAAGGGTGTCCATGACAGGTAAATTTTACTATATTTTAACAATTGTTTATTTGTCAACAAGATAAATGCATGAAAATAGAAATAACATATGATTTTATTCACTAATACTTTACAGATACTTAGAAAATTTTCTATTCGTCTTACAAAACTTTGCTTTTAGAAAAGACCTAACTTTCTTATAGTGGACACTTGAAAAGTTCAAAGGGTGTTCACTATAACGACGTTATACTATATAGTTTTCATATTATACAACAGTAGATTCTCATATTTAGAAGACAAACTAATCAGATAATAATAGATTTCTCAAAATGAATAGATTTTTGCTAATCAAGATTTAACAATGATAAACAACGAAGTCAGAACTATCGGTAGACTACGTTGTCGTAATTTCGGATTTGGTTGGGCGCGACCGGTTTTTCTCATCTGAGAAATGTGTAAGATACGTTAGTCACCAAATATAAAAAACCGGAAAAAAGGTATCTTGTATTTTCCGAGCAAATCTCGAATTCTGGTAGAAAGTTGTATTGAGATTATTAAAGGACGTTTCAATCGGGTCAAAAGAGTTAGAACCTGATACACTCTAACTATCAAATAATTTAAATCAAATCGAGTAATAGCTAAACGTTAGAGTAAATAAAAAAGTAATACTTCTTATCATGAATACTTTGATAGTCGTTGAAATAAATCAATATGAAACTTGATAATATTGATAAATATAAATCATAGACAAGG